CCCTGCACTCCCCGTGCCATGAAGGCCATCTGGGAGTCAAGAGCAGGGTGCTGGGAGCGAGGCTTTTCCCTCCTGGCCATGGGCTGATGCGCCTCTGGCTTCTCCCTGCCCAGGGAGCGGCTTGCTCCAGAAGAAGACGCTGGTCCCAGGCCAGGGGGTGGACACCCGTCCCCGCAGGGGCCAGGACGTGACCATCCGCTTGAAGGCCACGCTGGAGGATGGCAGTGTGGTGGAGGAGAACCCTGCCCTCACCTTCACGCTGGGGGACTGCGACGTCTTGCAGGTCAGGGCTGGGAGAAAGCTTGCCTGGTTTTATTGCTGCCTTGTTTTTACCCTGCAGAGCAGGACCTCGCTTTAGGGGGTGCGGGGAGGGTTTGGGGTCAGTGATGTCCCTGTTTGTGGATCAGAAGTGCTCCCTCTGCCCTTGCTTATGCTCTCTCCCCACGATGTTGTTCCCTGCAGGCTCTGGACTTGTGTGTGCAGCTCCTAGAAATGGGGGAGACGGCTTTGATTGTGTCAGATGCAAAGTACTGCTACGGCGCGCAGGGGAGGTGAGTGGGGAGGGAACAAGGTGGAGCAGGATGGCCCCAAATAAGGCTGTGAAAGCTGTCCCCTGTGGTCCCGGTGACAGCCACAGCTTCAGGGGCAGGGAGACCCAGCTCACTTGCCACATACAGTGGACGGCAGCGTGTCCTGCCTGTGGGGCTTGATATGCATTGTGCCCTGTGCCAGGGAGCTTCCGTGGCTCTGATTTTGGGGCACGGTGCTAAATCTACATGGCTCGGAGGCTGACGGGACCAGCAGAGGTGGTAACGGTGCCATGGCTTTGTGCCCCTCTTTGCACAGGAGCCCTGATGTCCCACCCAACGCGGCCCTCACCCTGGAGGTGGAGCTGCTGGCGGCTCGGGATGCACCAGACCTGGAGCTGCTCAGCGGGAAGGAGAAGATAGAGCTGGCCAACCGCAAGCGGGAGCGCGGCAACTTCTTCTACCAGCAGGCAGATTACGTGCTGGCCATCAACTCCTATGACATCGCCCTCAAGGTCATCGGCTCTAGCTCGAAAGGTACCTGCTCCCACCTCGGGCGAGGGCCGCCTGGGATCCCTTCCAGCTGTAACCTGGCTCTGGGGTCTTTGCAGTTGACTTCAGCCCGGACGAGGAGGCTGAGCTGCTGGACGTGAAGGTGAAATGCCTCAACAACTTGGCAGCCTCTCAGCTTAAATTGGACCATTACGAGGCAGCCCTCAAGTCTTGTAACCTCGTCCTGGAGCATCAGCCGGGGAACATCAAGGCTCTTTTCCGAAAGGGCAAGGTGAGGCCGGGCGCTGCCATCCCTTCTCCATGGCATGATGGAGGGCAGGACCGAGGGACAGACCTCAGCTGTCCTGCTCAATCCGTATCTCGCCTCCCAGGTCCTGGCTCAGCAGGGCGAATACAGAGAGGCCATCCCTATCCTAAAGGCGGCGTTGAAGCTGGAGCCTTCAAACAAGGTAGGCTGCTATTATATGCTGCTGGTGGTCCCACTGAGCTGGATGTCTGCAGGATGCTCTCCTGTTGTCCATGTCCCTGCAAACCTTGGTGTTCCCTGTGGAAGGCTGAAACCCCCCGTAGCTGTTTCCCAGCTTCCTCCATGAAGGGAGGCTGGAAATAGCCCCCAGGACTTGGGCAGCTGCGTGGTGATGTACCCCGTGGGGCAATGTCTGAGCTTGGCTGGGCTGGTAGGTCTCTTATCTCCATGTTGCGAGACTCTTCCTTTGCCCTTTGGTCCTTGCAGTGGCAGGACTCCCTGCCAACACATCCCCTGCTTCAGTGATCCTGCGTGTACGATCCTGTCTACTCCACCTTCCCCGGGTGACTCCAGCAGCTCGTGCCGTGGCTGCAGGAAGTGGAGCAGAGCCGAGTCCCCGCAGACTCGCTCAACAGCCCGGAGCGTGATTCACTGGGCGGCGGGAGCAGCCCAGACCTCGGTCCAGTGCCCAGGCTGGGGCGAGCTCTGGGTCAGGAATTTCCTGTCGGTTAATGATCAGCTGCAGGCCCGGAGCCTCAGGAGAAATCAAACCCCAGTGCCAGGAAATGGCCCCAGCAGGAGCGAGCCTGGGCGAGCTGGGGGAGAGGCAGGGAGGTGCTGCCTGCCTCCACAGGGTCGAGGTGGGGGGGCTTGGTTCTACAGGTGAGCTTTAGTTCTCAATTGGGTCTGTCGTTTTATCCATCTCTTTTCTGGGAATTTCACCAGACTGTCATGATTTGTGTCATGATCTGGTGCCTGAAGGTCACGGGTGGGATGGGGCACTGTGGAAGCAGGTGGTTGGTGGTCCCGCAGCACCCGCAGAGCTCGTGGTCTGAGAGCACCTGCAGGGAGGGATGAGGAGGATCTGAAACCCTTCACTTCCCGGCAAGGTTGGGGTGGGCAACCGTAGTGAGTGAGCAGCACAAGCAACGCAGGCAGCACCGGGAGCAGCTTCCCCTGTGCGTCTCCAGCACGTCACTGTTGACAGGGCGGTTGCTCGCCAGCATGCTCGGATGAAGCTTTTAATTGGAGAGGGGTGAAAAATCAAAATGCCTGGCAGTGACGTTACCAGCGAAACCACAAGTACAGCAAATTACTGGCCTCCCCGGCTGGCTGCTGGGACTCCCGGGGACGTGGTGGTGCCACTCCAGACGGCAGCGTTAAACACGCGTCAGTGAGTCACGGGCTATGGCTACCGGTGGTGAAAACAGATGCAAGAAATGCTCAGCTCCACCTGCCTCGGATGAGGAAACCTGGTTCTCTGGGGCTGTTGGCACCTTTCAGCTGTTACAGATCATCAGGTGCTGGGCTCCCTTCTCACCGCATGTTCTGGGAGCAGGAGGAGATGCCAATTTTTATCCTACACCAACATGGTAGCCCCGGTGAGCTCGAGGGCTGTCTGCTGCCATTTGCACCCTCCAAAATCTGTTTGAGGCAGCGGTGCTGAGCGTTGCATGGTCTGGTGAAGCCCCGGCTGGTCTCTGGGTGAGCCGAAGTGAGCTGGAGCCGGTGTGGGTCGCCGGTGGCAGTGCCGGTGTTTTGGGGAGACGTCCCCAGCAGAGGGCACAGCACGGCCGCGGCACCGGACGGCTGCGCCACCACGGCCACTTTTGGGAGCCTGCGAGCTCTGTGCGGGACGCAGAGCTTTCTCTTGCAGCGCTCTCTCCAGCCCCAGCCACTGCTGCCGTTTGGCACAGCCAGGCAGGTGCTGACACGCTCCCGGGTTTTGCTGCCATCCTGCTTCACACCAGGCTGAGTTTAAGCCCTCTTCCCCAGCTTGCTTCCAGACAGAAAAGTGGGAGAGCTCAGGCACGTCTGTCCCCGAGGCAGGAACTTTTCTGTCTCGATTAAAGGATAAAAATCCTTTTCCCGATGTCTGGCATCAGCCCTGGGCTTGGCTCCCCGCTGCCAGCTGGGGAACGTTTTGGGTGGCCAGAAAGGACAGAGGGGGGCTCAGACCCACACGGCACCCAGCCTGGGTGTCTGATGCCAGCCTGGTGCAGCCCCTCAGTGCAGGGGAGCGGGGCAGGATCAGGCCATCAGTCCCCCCCCGAGCTGCTTCTAAACTGTTCCATGAGGCTCCTGCACAGCCCCGGGGTGATGGGACCTGTTGGTGGTGGCACTGTGGTCCTGTCCCCTCCCCTGCACCACAGGGATGGTGTAGGGCCGATGACCGCAGCGCTGCGCTCTCCTCCCCAGACCATCCACGCTGAGCTTTCCAAGCTGGTGAAGAAGCACGCGGACCAGAAGAACGTGGAGACGGAGATGTACAGAAAGATGCTCGGGAATCCCAGTGCCGCTGGTGCCCCAGGGAAGTGTAAAGACAAGCTGCCCTGGGTAAGGGCTGGTGCTGACCTCCCCGGGGTGGGGGGCACACAGAACGGGTGGGGGTCACCCCTGGGGTGGGGAGCGCTGGGCTGCGCACAGGGGATGTGTTAGTGTGCCCCCCAGGTCCCTGGGGGTCGACGCAGTCCTGCTGCCGGGCAGGGGGGATGCCGATGGGACCCACGGGGTGGGCTGTGTCAGGGCAGCAAGCCGGTCGGGAGCCGGGGACCGGTTTCGGCAGGCTCGCCCGGGAAAACGCC